TCACTCTCTCGCTCGCTCGCTCGCTCGCTCGCTCGCTCTCTCTCTCTCTCTCTCTCTCTCTCTCTCTCTCTCTCTCTCTCTCTCTCTCTCTCTCTCTCTCTCTCTCTCTCTCTCTCTCTCTCTCTCTCTCTCTCTCTCTCTCTCTCTCTCTCTCTCTCTCTCTCTATCCTCTCTACCTCTTCTGCCTCCCTCTCACTCTCTCTCTCTCTCCTCGTCCCAACTTCAACCCTCCCTATCTCTCTCCCTCGCGATTTCCGCATCGCTGGCCCTGCGCTGCGTGACCATCCCCACCTCCTCCCCCAAAGCTTTCGTCATCGCGATTTCGTCTCGTCATCGCTCCCCAATCTCTCCCGTCTCGCAACTTCCTGTTCGCCGTGCGGCCTGCGACGAGGAGGAGCGGGGCATGACGGGGCGGCAGCCCCGTCCTTCCTCGTCCTTCCTCGTCGAGGGGCGCGCGACGGACAGGGCGATGATGTTGCCACCGTATGTCCCCGCAGGCTGTGGAGAGCAGCGGCGCCATCGACGACCTGGACATGCTCGAGCAGGGCGCTCTGGACTTTCACAGCAGCACGGTCATCCAGGAGCTGCGCGCCCAGAAGTCGTTCGACGACAACGTGAAGGCCGTCGCTGACGAGGCGTCGGAGGTCAGCGCAACTGAGCTGATGTGGGATGATCTCAAGAAGAACGGGTTCACCTTCAAGACGGAGAAGGTATCCGTCTCACCCTTCCACTCTCACAGCTTCACTCTCATCCTCCTTAACCCCCCCCTCTCACTCTCACAGCCTCACTCTCACAACCTCACTCTCCTCCTTAACCTCCACTCTCACAACCTCACTCCCCTCTACGCTCACAGCCTTAATCTCACAACCTCACTTCGCAACTCTCACTCTCGCAACTCTCACTCTCACAGCTGCGCAACAGCCAGGCTGCGGGAAACCCGATTTCTGGGCACTGGGACCGAGCCTACAAGGCCAGTGCAGATCCGACGGCGGTTGCCGACCGAATCCGCCACCCCCCATCCCCCCCCCGAAGGCCGTAGGCCGCGCGGCCCACGGCCTCCTCCTCCTCCTCCTCCTCCTCCTCCTCCTCCTGATCACCATCATCAGCATCATCACCATCATCATCAGCATCATCATCAGCATCAACATGATCACCATCATCATCATCAGCATCATCATCAACAACATCATCATCAACATCATCATCATCATCATCATCAGCATCACCATCATCCTATCTCGTCCCCTCCCAGTCCCTCCTCCTTCCCTTCCTCATCCGCATCCTCCTGCTCCTCCTCTCCTTCCCCCTCCTCCTCCTCCCCCTCCTCCTGATGTTTTCTACTACCCCCCTCCCCCCCCCCGCCTCCTCCCCCTCCTCCTCCTCCTCCTCCTCCTCCTCCTCCTCCTCCTCCTCCTCCCCTCCTCCTCCTCCTCCTCCTCCGCCTCCTCCTCCTCCTCCTCATGCGCATCATTTGCGCTATGGACCCAGCATGGTGTCGCGTTGCATTTGGATTGCATTTGGATGGCTGGTGGGTGTCATTTGGATCGGCTCGCTCTGGGGCCTTCGTGGTTTCTGGGCGTAGAAATCGCGCTTCGTTGGCGAGTGGTTCGGGTCTTGCGCAAGGGGGGCGCCCCGTGGCCTAGCGGACTTGCGCGCTGACTACGCCAAGCACAAGGGCTGGACCAACAAGTCGCTCTTCCGCAAGAAGTGGGCGGAGGGCGAGTTCCAGAAGTGGGAGGCGCTGCACAGGTTCGAGAAGTCGGACTCGCATTGCAAGACGGAGGGCAAGAACGGCCGCTACTTCACGATTGGGAGAATCGCCCAGGAGGAAGGAGGCGGCAAGAGTGGCCGCCGCAACGCCTTGAACTACGTGATGCGGTGCATCGTCCTTGGCGGCCACTGGGTCCAGTACGACACGGAGTTCGCGAAGTGCATCAAGTTCCTCTACATCGAGCACACGATGTCCGAGTATTACAAGTCGTCCTGGAAGGAGTACGAGGCGTGGACGCAGGAGCGACCTTCGCAGACCTCAGGCTCGCGCAGCAGGACGCTGTCAGACAGCTCAACTCAGCAGCTTCCTGCCCCCCCGTCGAGGGCTCAGCCGAAGGCTCAGGCGGCGGCCGCGGCGGCGCCGCCCGAGGGGGGGGACGCGGCCGAGGCAGCTCCAGAGGCATCGCAGCTGAAGCCTAAGGGCAAGAGCCGTGCCAAGGCCAAGGCCAAGGCAGCCGCCGCCGAGCCCAGCGGCGAAGGGGAGCAGCCGAAGCAGGTAGGTGATGACGAGACAGGAGATGGTGACCAAGACGAGCCAGACAAGAAGAAGAGGCGGGCGACCGTTGCAGCTGTGCCGAAGGAGCTTTGTTTGTTTCGGCAACGTGCACTGGCATCTCACAACGTGTGATTGGCGTGCTCGCATTTGGACTGGCATATGTGTTCTGCGCGTTTGGGGTAGCACGTGAGAGCACGTGTCGTGAACAACGCGTTCTGTTGGTGGCAATGCTACAGGGTGAGCGCAAGGAGGAGGAGAATGGAGGAGCGCAGTGAGCACGGTACAGAGGAGGGCAGGGAGGAGAAGGAGGAGGAGGAGGAGGAGGAGGAGGACAATGAGGGAGGTGCATTGGGAGTGCAGAGGAACGCAAGGGGGAGGAGCGGTCCAGCCTATAATACTTCTGCAGTGGCACGCCGATATCGCGAAGCTGCGGAAGCAGTGCGTCACGGTGACCTCTACTCTCGGCACGCTCCAGGGCCAGATCGACAACGACCCGAAGTTCGCGTGGGCCAACAACGAGTACGTTCAGAAGGAATTGCTCCAGGCAAAATCGCAGGCGGGGCGGGTAGGGCAGGGCAGTTGGGCCCTCCATTGAACCTCCACCTCCTGTCGCCCATCATCAGCCGCAACCCTTCTCGACTTCTGCACTCGTCTCGCGTGTTCGCGTGGCTCGGCGACGCATTGGCATCGCAACGGCTCGCAGTGCCGCCACAACTCCGTAGCTGTCTGTGCTCAGTCAGCGTCCCAGTTCAGATGGGGCGCAGCGGCTGCATCAAGCGCCCCGCTGCGGCTGCTGCAAGTGATGATGCCGAGGAGAAGGATGACCCTCCGCTCTTGACGATCCTCAAAGACAACATCCAATCGCCAGAGGAAATCGAATACCCGAATAGTATGGACGCCCCGATCGATACAGAGATGCTCGTGAAATACAAGACACTCATTGTGGCCATTCGGGGAGCGATAGAACCCATGTCCCAGGTGGGCGCCGTAGAAATGAGAGAGTTGTTGGCCAGCCTCGCGTCCTCGAAGGAGGAGGAGTGGAAGCTATCGGAGCAACATCACAGCTGGGCATCCGAGGCTGGGAAGATGATACGCACCATGCTACGCCATGTGTCTCAAGCTGCCCTGACAGCAAGGTCACAGTTTAAAAACATCGGTCGAAGTTAGGTCGGATGGAGGCGGATTGGTATGGAGGGTGGAATGGAGGAGGGATCAGGTTTATCAGGCTGGGCGGGGGATGAGCTTGTCGATGCTAAATTGTTTCGCGAGTTTCCCACGGATCCCCTGGGTTAGTTTTGATCGACGCCGTTTCCTTAAGCGTTCCAGGTCGAAGAAGAAGCCCTACCCCGAATGGCTAGCTGAGATCATTGGTCAGAATGAGTTCGCCGATGACGGTGTCCACGAGGATTGTTCTGGGGGTGAAGCGCATAGCCTCCACCATGCCTCCTGTCGCGCTCCCTTACCCCGCAGCCGCCTTCTGTAAAGGCTCAGGTATCAAGTTTGCCCCCCCCATCTTCCGATCCAGGAGAGTAAAGTACTTGCCGACGGCATGCGCGTCGATCAGAGTGACTACGTGCATCAGTTTGATCACTTGCACGTGGCAGCTTGGGGTTTGAAAGACATCGGCACAGGCGGCCATTCGGAGAGGGATGTCTTGGGATACAATTTGGAAGCCGACCCAGGGTGCCGTGCCAACCTCCAGGGTGAAATCCACAGTTGATTTGGAGGTCGCCAGATTCGGAGATTCAGATTGCCAGATCCAGAAACTGAACTGAGGTCTGCCGTGCCGATATCATTCAAATTTCGCTTCGTTCGCCCAGGCAGCCAACAGGACGCCGAAGACCTCTGCCAAGTCGTCGCCGCCTGTCGAGTGGGCCAAGCCGTTGGAGGAGACGTCGGGAGCTGACGAGACCGACGAGCTGATAGCGCAGTTTGTGGACGGCTCGACCTGGCAGATCCCTGGGTACACGCGCAAAATGTTCAGGGACAGCAAGGTCGGGGGCAAGTCCAGGAAGTCCAGCGCAACATTCTGGGAGGGCAACTTCGAGCAGCAGCGCGTCTTCCTGAACACCTACACTCGGGATCAAGGCGCCAGGGTGTTCATCGGCTTCTGGCGCGGCGGACAAGGAGGCGGGAGCGGCGGTGCGATGATCTCGCAGCTCACAATACAGCCGACGTACAACCTTGAAGAGGCCAAGGAGATGATGAAGTCGCTCGCGCTGAGGTACTCGCAGAAGGCCATTGACAAGGACATGCTGGAGGCGGAGAAGGCGAGATGGATTGGCGAGCGCGCCACCAAGCCGAAGGGCGGGAAGGTCAGCAAGAAGCCATCTGGTCCGACTCGTCCGAAAGCCAAGGCGTCCAGCAAGAAGGAGCTGCAGGATAGCGAGGAGCCGCAGAGCGAGGACAAGGGGCTTGGCCACCAGGAGGAGGTGGAGGAGGAGGACGCGGACTGTGCCGAGGGCGCCGAGGAGGAAGCACCAGAAGATCGCGAAGACGATGATGAGGCTGACGAGGACGAGCCCAATGCTGCGCTCAAGAGGCCATCAGCTGCCACCATCTCCAAATTCACGGGTGCACCCAAGGAGGTGGCAGAGCCGACGTCAAAGAAGCCGAAGATCACGAAGGCGGCACCCAACAAAGAGATGATCACAATGACCCCGACGGCTTCCCGCAAGAATGCAGAGCTTGAGGCAGTGACGCCAGGTTCAGCAGCTTCCTCCGCGCAGTCGAGCCCATGCGCGTCCTCAGCAGCGACCGCGTCGCCACCGCCGCCATCTGCGGGGAGGTCTGGGACGCCTCCAATGAGGTCCTTGGCGATTCCCGAGGACTCGCTCGGATGGTAGCGGGCACGTCGCAGATGCCCAGGAAGCTTTCGCTGTCGGACTGGCGCGCGCCAGCTTGACCGTAGCATGCTTGCTGGTGCAAACGGATTGGACAGCACAATCGTCGGCGTCAGCATCATCAACATCACCTCCGCCCCATCCCTCAGAGAGCCAGGCCAACCACGTCCGTTCCTCCCCCACTCAAGCACTGCATGGCCCTTGTGCAACTCACTGCACTCACCCCTCGTATGGCATGTAAATGTGTTGGGCTATGTAAATGTTGTGCGCCGTATCGCACATGGCGCCGACGCGTCTGCGCAACGTCACGCGAGCACCGTGTGTCTGATGTGTGCTATGCAAGTGTAGCGGGTGAGAAGAGGATGGGGAGGAGGAGGAGGAGGAGGAGGAGGAGGAGGATTAGGAAGATAAGGAGCCAGAGAAGAAGGATGATGAGGAGGAGCAGGGACAGGATGAGGAATAGGAGGAGGAAGAAGATGCGGATGAGGATGAGGATGAGGAGGATGAGGAGGAGGAGTAAGAGGAGGAGGAAGGGAAACAACTGCAGCATGAGGGCGGGCTGCATCCGCTAGCGGGGAGGTGACGGACATCATGGAGCAGAGGGGCAACTATCGCACCGTGATGGTCAAAGACATCGCGAAGCTCAAGAGGGACTTCAAAGGCAAGGAGTCTGAGCTGGAGACAGACTGCAAACAGCTTGCGCAGGACGGGACGGGGCGGGGCCGCTCGGTGCGCACAGTAAGCAGCACGGGGCAGCGAGGAGGGCGATGTGTGGAATGTGCGTGAGGGGTGCCCAGGAATGCGAAAGTGGGCGTGGCGAGTGGGGGGTGGGGGCATGACTGCTTGGGGCTGGCGCGCGTAGGACTTGACTCAGCCCCTGGGCCAGCTGGACGAGGAGATCCAGTGCATCTACAGGCAGCACGAGGCCCGCCAGAAGAAGGCTTGAGCCAATGAGGTCAGAGGGACGTAGCATCACGCGTGCAGCTGCAGTCAGTTTGCCAGCATCTGGGGTAATGCTGCCACTGCCCTCCAGCGGATCGCATGCGTTCTGAGAAATTTCATTGCGTTCTGAGAAATTTCATTGGGTTTGGTCGCGTGTGGGCCCTGGGGAGACGGGACGGAACAATTTCAAACGAATACCGGATGACAAACGGCAAATTCACACCAAATTACCGAAATCTGGTCCAAACCATAGGCCGTCCAAAAGCCGTCCAAAAGCCGTCCAAAAGTCATCCAAATTGATATGCAAACGGCCGTTTCGCTGCATACATCCTCACAAAACTCACTGCGTCCAAAAGCCGTCCAAAAGCCGTCCAAAAGCCGTCCAAATTCATCCAAATTGGGACACGGCAGATTTGATGATAAAACCAAGCAGCGCCGCAACAATTTGGTAGCGATCCACTGGTTTTTGGGCACGGCAGGCGTCTGCGCAGTGCAGCGTGATCGCAGGATGTGGAAGTCTTGCAGTGAACAGCTGTTAATGGTGAGATTTCAAGCAGGGCGCAATCCTCAGCCAATGAGAATATTGGCAGTCTCTGGGAGTGGGCGAGCGTCCATGTAGTTCTTTTCGCACTGTTCGGCGATTGGGTGCTCGCAGGTCTTGACGGCCGCGCGCGCGGTGAGCAGATGTGTTTGCCGTGGCAACAAGTGCTTTGCATGCGGAGGTTTTCTTTTGTCCGCAAGAACCGTGGTCACCCAGCTGGCCTTGGCGAGAGTGCGTCGCCTTCTGTCGAGCGAGCGGTGCGCCTGACGAAAATCATTGCTCCTCGTGGGAATCGCCCGATGCTTGCGGTATGCATCGCAGCCCTTGACGGCGCCTGGCCGCAAATAACGCAATCGTCACGATGGATTCGGCTCGGAAGAATAGGCGTCGGAAGATGCATCTGGCGTTGCGCTCGCAGACAGGCGGGGTGAGATGAGGCGCCGAACTGCTAGGAAGGGATAGGTCGGGTCAGGATTTGGCTCTCAGTGATTCGGCTGCATGCGTTCAAACTGTAGGACTCCATGAAACGGCGCAGCCATGGGCTGCAGTGGGTACCGACAGAGAACGCTGCAAAGAAGCGCAGCGCAGGGGCATAATTGTTTGCTTTGCTATGTGAAATGTACGCTTCTGGGAGATCGATGTCTGCGCGAGATTTCTGCGTGATCGCTCATCATTGTTCGACTTCGGGGATGACGGGAGCTCCGTGGAGTCAGCGCGCGCAGCCAGCAGGCTTGAGGGCAACATAAACTTGATCGTTCTAGAATCCAGCGGCTTCCTGGGGTGCACACTGCGTGCTGAAAACCATAGGCTTTGACCCCACATCACCCACATTTAATTGATGCCCCCCCCCCTCCTGATCTAGCACCGCCGTTTTGTTTAGTGCACTCCTCAGGGAAAGATTCTGGGTATTACAGCCGTTGGTTGAAGAAAACTCTCCCGAACCCTGGATGCATGTACATGTGTGATATTCCTGGTGCAGTACGGGGACACGCTGCCAAAACGTCCATGCCGTGGTCCTTCAACCTCGTCTTTGAGTCGTTCGCTGAGGAAGTTCAGAACAGCCCCTCAATTCAGAGATGTCTTGAAGTCGGCGATAGGGACGGCACCTCTGCCATGGCAACCCGAAGATATCTAAGCCACCCAGATACCGAGGATTGTTTAAACATCGCAGGCAAATACCCGATACCAATTGCTATCTACTTGGACGGCGTGCGCTATACGCCTCTGGGGGCAGGGAAGACAGACACCATATTACAAATATCTGTCGTGAATTTGATCAGTAACAAACGCCACATCGCAAGTGCGACGAGAACAGGGGATAAGTGTTCGTGCGGCTGCAAGGGCCATTGCACGACCCACGGTATCCTCTCGGTTCTAGACTGGCAACTCAAGGCAATGGTCCGAGGAGCGTATCCTGATGCACGGCACAATGGGGACGCGTGGGCGGAGGAGGACAATCACGGGTACCAGGTGAAGGAATGGGGGTGGGGCGATGGGGGACCCAATGAGTGCGTTTCGGTTGTGCTCTCCTCGTTCCCTGACCCGTCTGGTCAAAGAGGAATTGCATAAACTTAGACGCGCACATTGGCCGACAGGATTCTCACTTCGTCGGGAAAGCCCTCCCGTGCAGAGCCTGTGTGATGTACATGAAAGGGGACTGGGCCGAGTTCAACAAATCATTTTCGCTTTCCCCGTGGTCATCAGGCCACTCGCCCTGCCCGTTGTGCGATATCTCATTGGAAGCGATGTCAGACATCTTCCCAGGTTTCTTGAATTGCATCGACGTCGGATGGAGGATGAGAACGGCGTTGGACTACACAGCTGCATGTGATAAATGTGAAATCAAGGTAACTGTGGACTCAGAGGCCGTTCGGAGGAGTATATTGGAAAATACCAGACACGTGGAGACTTACATCAGAAACCAACCAGGTGGATTGATCGTCATGTCTCGGGTCCCTGGTACTCAGCTTGCTGTGGGAGACGTCCTCACGAATTCAGATATGCTTCCAGACTTGAGCAAATTCCAGGACCGAGCCCTCCCATTCGAGGCTACGTTTTGGAGAACTACCAGGGACCACAAAGGATTCATCACATCTTGGGTTCATAGGCGTTGTCCGCTTTTCAACAACGACCTTCACACATCACCTGCGGAATCCCTGGGGCTTGAGGAGATGCGCACCGTCAATTTAGGAGTGATGATGCGTTGGGTCTCAGCAGTTCTCTGGCGCGTCGTCGAGGCTAACCCCTGGAGGTCAAGCTCGCAATCTCTTGCAGCATCACGTTTGCAGAGTGACATGTTCTCGTGGTTCAGTGAGGCTGGTATTCCACATAGCCAGCGCCTCGGGACACTAAATTTAAAAATGATGGGCATCAGCGCGAAGATCCGCAGGGCCCCTGGTTCCCAGCACCCTGGCTGTCCCATGTCCACGAAGGCGGCCGAGACATCAACCCTTGCCAAATTTGCCATGCACATGCTACGTCAGAACGTTCACGCCGTCCCGATGGGGGCAGAGCTGCTGGCAGCGGGCGACGCACTGCAGGAGTGGAAGCATATCGCCCGAACGGTCAGCTTTTGTCATGCCCTTTTCATCGTTGCTTCTGCCAGCTTCTCTTGTTTGTCTTGCCTACTCTCTCGCCCCATCCTAATAACCACCTGTGTCCGACGAGGGGGTGGGGCAGGGCTAGACCCTGACACGTGCTGATCCTGCGCGCGGCTGCGTTGACACGAGCCCTGGGGAAGCCATCAGTCGGCTGCGAGACCCTGGATCGCATTTCGTCGAGACCAATGTGCCCGTAGAACCTTCTAGGGCGTCGGGCCACATGTGGGTAGAAGTGCATAGCATAGAAGACATGTGTGTATGTGTGAGTGTGTGTGTGTGTGTGTGGGGGGCGTCCCCATGCTATCCGCCATATTGTGGCAGTCCCCAGATGCCGCCGAGACCAGACGCGGAGATGTTCCAGAGGCTGGTTGACTCGTGTGCGAGGCACATCATAGCTTGTAAAGAGGGCGGCATCCGCATTGTGCCGAAGCACCACTTGTTCTGTCACCTCACGCTGAGGAGATGCCAACTCTGGGTATAAATCTTGAACCAGTCGCGGGGAGGGAATGAGGGAGGGAAGGGAGGAGTGAAGGAGGGAGGGAGGGAGGGAGGGAGGGAGGGAGGGAGGGAGGAAGGGAGGGATCTCGGCGGCACACAGACAACGTCCTAGAAGTAGCAAGCACACGAAACACTTACGCACAAACGCGCTCACATGATCGTGCAAAGGCGCGTCGTTCGAACACGCGCACACGTACCACACCCGTACACATATAGACACATTCGCGTGCAGACGTAACCATATCAGCACGAATACATACATAGATGCAGGTGATACAGTTTTCAGGTGATACTATGTGTGCCTAGGTCCAGGAGCGCGGATGCTCGGGGGTGGCGACTTGTTGAAATGGAACGGTAATATGCCAGCGATGAGCACACGCGCAATGGTCTCGCCGCCAAGGTCCGCACCCATCTATTTGCACGCATGCGCGCACATAGTTTTGGGCAGAATCGTTCGGGATACGTTCAGTGAAAAAAGGTTTGCCTGTTCCGGGACTTGGTATCACGGCCCGCCCCGCCTGTACGCAACGTGGATGGACGAGTCTCTGAATTTTTTGATAAGGACAATGGCCCAGAAAGCTCATCGTCGCACGATGGAAACGCACATTTTCACGGCATTCAGCTTGCTCGGCTCAGTGAGACCAGAGCTGTGCTTGTACGGGCCGCTTTGGCCTCATCGGTTGTCCGATGTCAGGGGGCCTGTATAAACCAATTGGTCTGGGGCGCGGGGTTCCGCAATGGATCCGTGACAGAGCTTGCGCGCTGGCGCCGAACCTGGGCGATCGGAGTCTGCATTTGTGTAACGGCGACTACTTGATGCAGACAGCAGTGTCAGAGGTTCAGAGGTGGTTGAGCGCTCCAGAGTTTCATGTGGAGCGATACCTCGACTTAGTCGAGTTTTTCTGCGGGCACGGTGGCATCACCACGACGTGCCTGTTCTCAGGCATGAAGGCTGTGGGCTTCGACAGGCCACGATGCATGACGGGCCAATCAATCTGTGAGTTAAACGGGAGAGGGGGGTGGGCTCGTTTGAAAAACAACCCACCCGACACCCCCAACCGACCCTTCTAATCCCCAAAACGGCTCCCCCTAAAACCTGACCAACCCAAATTGCATCCAGATTG